ACCCTATCCCCACCTCCACCTCTTAGGCTTTCCTCACCATGGAGTAATTAGGATAATCTGGCATTCTGTCAGTTTGTCTCTTAAAAATGAAACACCAACATCTCATGAGCAGACCAAACCTCAAGTAGTTCATGTCAGTCATGATTACATGTCCGGTATGGGAATTGTTGATTAGTTTTTGTTTCAGTTAGTCTACTACGTGAAAAGCAATGCTTGTTTTACCGCATGTTTCTTTATGCAAGTATTTTGTGATCAGTCACATAAATATTAACTGAGCTTGCTTGTTACAGATCCTTCTCAAATCTCAGGCAAAATATCTTCTGAATTAAGCGCAGTGGAAAGCAGCAAGGGTGGTATCCCATCACCTGCAAGAGAGAGAAGCGAGATGGCAAAAAGTAGAGGTAACGAAATATATTAGCAAAATTTCCAAGTGTGGGTTTCATCCCCCTAATAACAAGTTGCCTCTATTTTGCAATGGAACGGAATATTCCGGGTTTGGCAATGTCTGCTCTACCATCATCTAGTTATGCTGGTATAAAAAAAATTATCTGCTTCACATTTTTGCTTTCCCAGTAAAGCTGTCTTTAGTTTTATTTCTCCTAATTTTGTAACTACTTTGGCACTCCCTTAGTATTTGAACCAAGATAGTGAACACCGGAATGTAGCATGTGTATCTGGTTAGGGTTGGGCCATGATTTTTTTTCAATTTTCCTTATTCTAGTTCTATTACGAGTTCAGGGACTAGCCAAGTGACACCTGTAGTATTTGTATCTGAATTTGTGGCCTAACCCTAACCTGTTACACATACTACGTTCCGGTGTCTGCAGTCTTGGTTTACATACTACATGAGTACGACTACTTTTTTACTGGCTGAAAAATAAACTAGACTGTAATTACGAAAAAGGCTTGAAGATATGCAGGACTACATACTCCTAAATGAAGGCTATAAGTGGGAACCACATTCATTCATTTTTTAAAATAATTTTTTGCAAGCATATGCACTTCCAGGCATCGATGGTAATTTTTTCACATGGATAGTGATTTTCATCAAGAAATTACTTTTTATAAAAATCAAGCAATGACATATCTCTCGAATAAAAACAGGACTTCATCTCCTCATTGGATTGCATGCAAAAAATTGCCACCTTCATTCATTATGTCGAATGTTTTCATTCACAAATTAAAATTTTTTTTTACCCCAATATGAGCTGTCCCTGCAACTCTTACACCGCTCGATCGCAATGCCACCACTCGATTATTTTCAAGATATCACCGTTATAGATATTCCTAAGTCTGCGATCCCACGGAGTAAAATTATATATCAGTCTGTTGTTCTGAACACTACTGGTGTGCCGCACAAGGAATTTATGAGATTTTCAATGTCTAAGAAAGTGTTTTTAATCTGTCGCGGTCCACCCCGAGACAAAACTCATGGCGTTTTTCGTTTTATTTCCAGTATTTTTGTAATGCCACTTTTACAATAAAGAAATTTTTAGTTACGGATTCACTTTTTTATTCTATATTTAGCATCTCGTCGCTGATGTTTATATAATAAAAATTCATTTCATAAACTCATTTTCCTCAGAGGTGTCATGGTTCCATTCGAGAACTAAAAAAGTAATTATAATCGTCTTCGCGGCACAAGAATATGACGAGGGAAATTTCGGATTTAGGAAGAATAAACACCGAAATCAAGATTTTTTGAGCTTAAATAACACGCCACGGTGACGTAAACAGTGGAGATTTAAACAAAATGCAATCGCAAACGCCTTATCGACAACAATTGATTGAAATCCTACGTGTCTTATGTACACGTTTAAGCAAAAAATACATTAAAGCATGGGTTTATTGCTTGTTTAGTTTTACTTAATAATAAGTTTGACTTTACCAGGTATTGCAAACTGAGGGGAAAAACGAAAATGTATGACGACGACCAACCACTATTTGGCTTTATACATACGACAGTGAATGGCGAAGTTGTACTCTGAAGCGTTTTATGCCTAAACAATCTGAGCAATGACGCTATGAGACCAACATTCTTATAGCGCCATCCTAATATATAACAACTTGCCCATCACAAAAGCATTTTTTCAAAGCAAAAAGAGGGGGGGGGCGCGAAGTTTGTAAAATTTTTCAAAGGGGGGCGCGGATCAAAAAGTTTAAGAACCTTTTTTTTTACCAATTAACACTAGTTCATGTCTTTTACCACTTCAAGACGTCTCCGGCACCAACGCATCTTACCACTATACTTCCACTTGTAAACATACTCTCTTATTCCTAACTGCGACTAACAAAACTTTTTTATAAAATATGAATATGCCGACTTATCGGCTTTCCCTCGCGGGATAAATTTGAAAATTCAATTCTGTTAACCACAAGTCAGGCAATATCTGTATTCAGCTACTGTACAGACTTTCGCTTCCATTCCCATGGTTACACACAAAATGGTGCTCGGAGTCGTTATCCGTTTTTCCTTGGATCGAGCGTCCATTGGGTATGAAGCTTCACCTCGACTTACTTTGACATAAACTTGTTTCAACAATTATTGTTTGATTTATATATTACTATTTTTATAGGTTAGGTGATGTGAGCAATATTCATGTTAGTTTTGTTTTTTTGTCAACAAAGTTTTCCATTTGTGCAACATTCACCTTCTTAGCACATGTATCCTAAATACTTCAACTATGTTATTCTGAAGTGATTTTAGTGAAAGTTGGCTTAGTTTAAAACTTGAAAGAAATTTCATATATATTGGAAAAAAGAAAAATTCTATGGGAACCAGGTAAATGTGCCATATTCATGTATACATACATATGTTTACATAACCCCTACCCACTGTTGCTCACATTTCTCTCTCCAGTACGAATATCAGAAAACCTGATCTTCCCAATACCGAGTATTTCTATCATACTCGGTTTAAGTTTGTCAAAAAATGCATTATTTTAAAATTGAGATTGACCTGATAATGCTTTTCTAGTATGGCAGCCATATTTCTGTTGCTGTGGCAATGGCAATATCATGTGTTACATTGCTCTCGTCAAGTGTTAATATATGTAAAGCAATACTGCCACTTTTCTTTTGTTCATTTCCCTTGATTTCATGTGAGCAGTAATACGATAACGCAACATGTGAATATTATTGTTACAGATCCTTCTCAAATCTCAGAAAAAATTTCTCCCAAACCAAGTGCGGTGGAAAGCAGCAAGGATGGCAGTCCATCACCAGCTCAAGAAAGACAGAAGGTGGCGAAACATAAAGGTAATGGAAAAAATGGTAAAATTAAAAGAAAGAGATTTGGAATATGTTCTTCTGTTAGACAATTTGACACCTGTTGTTGCATTACACTTGAATCTTTTGTACATCAGGTGTCGCGCTGGATGAAGCCAAGATTTGAACATTTTCTATATGAGCATCACTAATTGTAGTTCTCTGCTTGGTCTTTGTAATGTTCATTTTCGAAAATGAATTTTTTCACGCATATGCACTTCCAGGCATCGATGGTAATTTTTTCACATGGATAGAGATTTTCATCAAGAAATTACTTTTTATAAAAATCAAGCAATGACATATCTCTCGAATAAAAACAGGACTTTATCTCCTCATTGCATTGCAAGCAAAAATTTGCACCTGCCATTTTGTTGCTAAATTTCCTTGAAGCATGGCTCCTCCTCTTCAGGTCATGAGATCAGTCCGGTATAGGAATTATTATTTTTGTAATTGTTTCAGGTACTTTACAGCTTGGAAAGCATCACTAGTTCTGCCCTACATTTTTTAACAACGTTTTTCACATGATAGGTCATGTAATTTTATCCATCCTTACTCGTTATCAATCCTTCTCAAATCTCTAGGTATTGTAGGCTGCATATCAGAAGTTACTTTCTAGGACTTTGTTAAGAATGAAGAGTCATAAAGGGGGTGGGGCATAGAATTATGTGTTATGTGCATGGGTATCTGAGTATGGATAATAATTTTATTTGCAAGCCAGACTGACCTGAGTTTGTTCTACGTATCCTATTTAATACAATCCCTTTTACATCTGACCCTCATTTAACCACATGTATCAATATCCGACAGTCTCAAGTCGAATTTTAAAAAGTAATTTGTTTCAAAAACAAGAAAATAAGGCTCAAATATAGGCACACAAAGGCCAAACGAAGTTGTGCGGGTGTCTGGTCTTTCACACTACTGGTACGATATCTTTGTCTGTCCCCCATATCGCAACAAATGCAAAACCGCCACAAAGTACGCAATTTTCAATTTTGTTGTTGTTATTATCATATAATAACAAGTCCCATAGAACCCCAAAAAATTTCAAAATAAATTAAAGTAATTACTCTTGGTGAAAACAAAAATCTTTAACTACTAGAAATTCTAAACCAATTGGTTCTGTATTTAGAGAGAAAGCTATTTTTTTTTTTCATAATGAGAAAAATACAAAAAAAAAAAATTAAACAGCAATAGCATAATACTGGAACAATCCATAGGTTCACTTCTTGTCCAAAAATATCAATCATAAGCTATCAAATATACTAAATACTTCAATGATTCAATTATTCTGAAATGAGTTGTCAAAAGTTTTAAAATTGAAATTGACTTCATAACGCTTTTTCTAATTTGCAGGCTCGAATATTTCCAGCACATCAGGCAGTGATCAGAGTGGGCGATCGGCTGAACAGAGAGCTGAGAGTAAAAAGTCTGGAGTTAATCAAGGTAATGCTGGTTGTTGATTTGTTCAGAGATGACTTGATGGTTCGAGTTTTGAATAAAACAATCTTGGCAATGCATGTTACTGATAATTCCTTAAACTATTGGTGATTTTCAACTTGATCTTGAGGGAGGAAAATCATATGTCAAACCATGGCTCCTTGTCCGGTCATGAGTTCGTGTCAGATATGGGAATTGATAACAAGTATTAGTTTCAGGTACTCTACTGCTTAAAAAGCAAGCAATACTTCTGTTACGATACGTTCCTTCATCCCAACTTTATATGATCACCCATGATTCAATATTATCCATCCTTACTTGCAACAGATACTTTCCAAATCTTGGCAAAAAATTCCTCTGAACCAAGTGCAGTGAAAAACAGCAAACGTGGTAGAACAATTACAAGTGTTATGTCGTTATGGTACTCTAGGTGTTGCAGGATACATATAATGGCGTGCTTGGGTAGGGCTTTTTTTAGCGTGTTATATTTATCAACCTATTTCCCATACAGATGCAACTTCACTCGCACAATCTGAGGAAGAGGAGACAGTGTCCAATGTTCCACCACCCAGGCTCGGTCCATCTCCATTTGATCCTCAATCAGCTGAGAAACATCCAGAGCCACAAGGGGCAACAGCAGGTGAGGGTGGGTTTGAATATTAAAGATATTGATAATGCTTCAGACAAGAAATGCCTAAATGAATTAAATATTTAACAATATAAAGGGGTTTGTATCCAAGATCTCTAGAGGTGGTGGGCATGGGGTTTGTATCCAAAAGCTCTTAAGTTGGAGAATATTGGTTGGAGAATATTTGCCATCTGTATAAAAGTCCAGCATCTTACGGTATCTGATAATCAACCAGAGTTATCTCTGTTGTCGTGATTCCATCCAATCTATTATAATGCACTATATAATAGAATTATGATTATATGATCATGAGGTAATGTGAAAATTCTTTAATTTTGGAATTCCTGAACCTAGAATTTTTTCTAACAGCAATGATTTGAACAATTCAAATTACCATGTCTTTTACCTAATGCGCTGAATCTTAGGTGTTGCCGGTACATATTAGTGGCCACTCGTCTTGGGAGTGTTTTATGTATCAACCGTCTTCCCATACAGATGCAACTTCACTCGCACAATCTGAGGAGAAGGAGAGAGTGTCCAATGTTCCACCACCTAAGCTCGGTGCATCTCCATTTGATCCTCAATCAGCTGAGCAACATCCAGAGCCACGAGGGACAACAGCAGGTGAAGGTGGGTTTGAATATTAGAGTAATTGATAATTATTCAGTCAGGAAAAGCCTAGATGATTCAAATATTTGAAAATATTGAAATGTTGTTAAATATATGTTTGAGAAGAAGTTGCAATAACATAGTAGATTTGTGATTTTTTTTTCACGCAATTCGTAAATTTTCCAAATTAGAAATGCTTAGCAGTGTACTAATGTTGTGTCACCCTAACCCTTTCACCAGTAAAAAAATGACTAATAACCAATTGGATAAAATAATGACTCTCTAGTGCCATCTAGGAAGATTTAATGTAGAAAGGTTTTGTTACGTATTTTGGAAGTTGGAAAAGTTGATTTATCATAAGATTGGAAAAGTGAACTTGCATGGGTGTGGTGATAAAACAAGATAATATTTATGTTAACAATTTTATGTTCATTGTGTAGTCGCTGCTTACGACTGTTCATACTTGTACTAGGCTTAATTCATAGCAATTGTGTAAAGCAAGTCTAATTAATATTTCAGGAGAGAATGAGAGGTTTGAAGACGCTTGCACTGATATCTTGAAGAAATTTCCAACTTTTAAACATTTCAAATTGTTTGCACAAGCTGGGACAGGTCTCGCACTCAGTATCAATGAAATCTCAACAATTATTGAAGATAATGCAAGTTCTGTTGAAGATCAAAAGTTTGAGATGCTTCAACTTTGGAAAGAAAAAAATGGTAAATATTTGTTTGTTTTCCATAAGCGAGGTAGGTTTGTGGGAAAGCTTTGATCAGTTGCGTGTATAAGGTTTTGCTTGAAATGAAATGTGAGAAACACACCATTCCAGTTTTACATAGCGTTAGGTAACCTCATTAACTTGTGAAGTTGTAGGTCTACGTGTATTGCTGGCATTGAAATCGGAGACATGGTTACTACTCACCACAGCCTCAGAGTCGCGTTTCATGATTCTAAAAGTGGGGAGTGGGAAACTCAAGCTATTGCAGTTTTCTGGAATTGAAAAGAATGTAAAACGTTATTTAATATCGCAGCCCAAGTAAAAGATTTCGCAATCAGGACTTCAGGGCCATAGTCAAGTCAGAGTCATGATTCATTTGTGGAACCAACCTGATAATGGATTTTCACAATAAAATTGAAATATTTACTCATAAATTGGTCATATTTTCTCTGTATTTCAGGATCAAATGCAACATCCAGATATATCAGAGAGGTTGTTGAGAAACATCTCAAGGCAGAGAATAGTGGTGTCATCGGTAAGTTTACTTCTGACCTGTTTCACACCTTTGTGCCATACAAAGTTCTCGACAAGCATTCAATCTAGGATTGTAAAAATACTTTCCATTTGGGTCAGATCCCAAGAGTTATTAGAAATTGGTTCTGTATCCAACACCTTAAATAGTGGTGGGCATGAGGTTTATATCTGGGATGTCGAGAGATGGTGAGCATGGGGTTTGTATCGGAGTTCTCAAGTGGTGGTGGGCATGGGGTTAGTATCAGAGATTTCTAGAGTTGGTGGGCATGGGGTTTATATCTGAGATATCGAAAGGTGGTTGGCATGGGGTTAGTATAAGAGATTTCTAGAGGTGGTGGGCATGGGGTTTAAATCTGAGAAATCGAGAGGTGGCGGGCATGGGGTTTATATCTGAAATATCGAGAGGTGGTGGGCATGGGTTAGTATCAGAGATTTCTAGAAGGTGGTGGGCATGGGGTTTATATCTGAGAAATCGAGAGGTGGCGGGCATGGGGTTTATATCTGAAATATCGAGAGGGGTGGGGCATGGGGTTAGTATCAGAGATTTCTAGAGGTGGTGGACATGGGGTTAGTATCAGAGATTTCTAGAGGTGGTGGGCATGGGGTTTGTATCGGAGAACTCAAGAGGTGGTGGGCATGGGGTTAGTATCAGAAATTTCTAGAGGTTGTGGGCATAGGGTTTATATCTGAGATATCGAAAGGTGGTGGGCATGGGGTTTATATCTGAGAAATCGAGAGGTGGTGGGCATGGGGTTAGTATCAGAGATTTCTAGAGGTGGTGGGCATGGGGTTAGTATCAGAGATTTCTAGAGGTGGTGGGCATGGGGTTTATATCTGAGATCTCTAGAGGTGGTGGGCATGGGGTTAGTATCAGAGATTCCTAGAGTGGTGGGCATGGGGTTAGTATCAGAGGTTTCTAGACATGGTGAGCATGGGGTTTATATCTGAGATCTCTAGAGGTGGTGGGCATGGGGTTAGTATCAGAGAATCAAGAGGTGGTGGGCATGGGGTTTATATCTGAGATCTCTAGAGGTGGTGGGCATGGGGTTAGTATCAGATCAAGAGGTGGTGGCATGGGGTTTATATCTGAGATCTCTAGAGGTGGTGGGCATGGGGTTATATCAGAGATCTAGAGGTGGTGGGCATGGGGTTTATATCTGATCTCTAAGGGGTGGGCATGGGTTAGTATCAGATCTCTAGAGGTGGTGGGCATGGGGTTTATATCTGAGATCTCTAGAGGTGGTGGGCATGGGGTTATATCAGAGATCTCAAGAGGTGGTGGGCATGGGGTTTATATCTAGATCTCTAGAGGTGGTGGCATGGGGTTATATCAGAGATCTCAAGAGGTGGTGGGCATGGGGTTTATATCTGAGATCTCTAGAGGTGGTGGGCATGGGGTTTAGTATCAGAGATTCCTAGAGGTGGTGTGGCATGGGGTTAGTATCAGAGATCTCCAGATATGGTGGACATGGGGTTAGTATCAGAGATTTCTAGAGGTGTGGGCATGGGGTTAGTATCAAAGATCTTTTGCAATGTTGGCATGGGGTCTGTATCTGAAAATTTCTTCACAGTTGGTGGGCATGAGGCTTATATTTAAATACATCCAATGTAGCGAGAATAGGGGGGTTCGTATTTATTCTGGTTTTCCTTCCAACAGGTCCAGAATCGAAAGATGCTTTTCTGGAAGTTCCAAATTTTTGCCAACGCTGCGCAATTTCAAAAGATTTGCATTGTCTAGGAAAGGTTTATCGCTCAGTATGCTGGAGGTCGAAACATAAAGGACAATACAAGATCTGTTGAAGAAAGGAATCTACAAATGTTGACTCAGTGGAAATACAAGAATGGTGAGTATTGATAGTTTACTTTAATGTCTAATATTTAGAACAAATAAACAAAGTGTGCATATGTCATTCAAAATTTTTAGTCGTTGGGGCATATACCAACTTAGACATTAGTTGGGCCCCACAAAAAATTCTCACAATGCAAAATTTTATTTATTTAGCATTTTCGCCGACACACGTTTTTCGAAATTTTTCATTTTTTTTTCATTTTCAAATTCATTTCATGCAGGTGAATCAGCAACAACTGAAAAAATCTGGCAACTAGTAGATGGTTTCCTGAATAAAGATGAGGAATCTAACCAAGGTACTGATAACTTTAGACATAGGTGTATCTGTAGCAGGCAATGCAGGGCAATGTGGGGTATGAATGCAATTCTATCATTCCACACTATATGGACAGCTTGTGAAAGAAATTAGGCAAAATTGCTCTGCGGACGTGCACTTATTGAGTTCTTTAAATGTTTCTAGTTAACATTATTGTGGTCGTGCCAAACTTTCTGCTGCCCCGAGGAGTGTTTCTCATAAGATGCCTCTGAAACAACACTTCAAGTATAATTTGGGGCTAAACAAGTTATTTTATACACGGAAGATAAATGTAATTGAATGTCAAGTAAATGGAAAGGTTTGCATTAATAATCAACAACAAACACAAACTTAATTGTGTAAGGAAGCGCCCCTCCTCTAGGATAACCCCTTGATTGTGTATAAGCATATATTGAAACATGGGGTAACCTTGAAATCATTGCTATGTAGTTTTAAACATTATTCTGAACAGATTCTGCCTCATCCACAACACACTCTCGCAAACTGGTGGAAGAGGAGAGAGTGTCTAATGTTCCACTCGGTCATCTCTATCGCCAATCAGCCGATCAACTTTCCAAAGCCAGAAGGGCCAACCTGGAAGGGAAGGGCTAGGATTGAGTATCGTATTTCAAGAACCATAGGGGGCACCGGGTTATAAAGGCGCACACTAAATAAAGTGCTTAGATGAGGTTTTGTTCATACATAAGGCGCACAATATATGGTTCAAATATATTAGAGTAAGACAATGCTGAATGATAATAAAAAATTGGTTAGATATGATTTTTCAAAAAACAATAAAACAATTATTATAAGTTGCATCCTCAATTTTTGTTCAGTTGCACGATGTGAAGAACGAAAAGAGTGTCCAGTGTTCATCACCTCAACTCGGTGCATTCCATTTGGTTCCCGATCATCTGAATCGCTTGTGGATCACGAGGGGCAACTGGAGGAGAAGGTAGTTTTTGCAGAGATATAGGACTGAATCATTGAGGGATCTAAAGTAAATAAGCCAAAAATGAAATATTGAGAAAATTGATTATATGTGAAATTTATCTTACATACATAGTGTTTTACATATTAGTGTAGTCTTACATACAAGTTCTGGATACAAAGTTTAAATCTTAGTCTTGAATCAAGCCGAGTCATTTCTTTAGTATGACGAAATTCCTGATCATTAATCTGAAGTCAATTTCAGTCACTAGTGAGTCTGAATCATGAAAAACAAAGAAATGTGTATATATGAGTCCCATTGAAAACTTTAGAAAAAAACAACACTATTTATAAATCGAAAAGTAAATTTAACATAGTAAATCGTGTTTCATCAGAATTTTCTCTTAATCAAGGACTCATTAAAGTCATCTCCAAGTCAAGTCTCTAGGTCATTTAAACAAGTTCAAGTTATGTGAGATAACTGCTGAAATATTTATTTAACCCAAAGGTTACTCGTTATTAATTAATGAAATTTTTTTCTTTTTATAGCTGCAAGTGGCTCTGGAAGTATGACACCCTCTGGCGCACATGAACATCAGGGAACATCCGCTACTGGTAATATTATCAAGAGTTTTGCATTGGTTTCCAAGCATGCAGTCGTTTATTATGCCCTTATCATTCGGTTCCTGCACTTTATTGCCGAACAAGGCAGTGGCTAATCAGTTTTACGACGAATCCCATTTCATATGCTTACTCTAACCATTTGCCTAAAGTTTTATATCCATCCTAACCCAGAACATACCATGAATTCCACTTCATATGCTTACTTTAACCATTTGCCTACAGTTTTATATCTATTCTAACCCAGAACATACCACGAATCCTATTTCATATGCTTACTCTAACCATTTCCCAAGGATATATATCTATACTAACCCTGAATATACCATGAATTCCCCTTCATAAGCTAAATCTAACTAATTGCGTTAATTTTGGAATTTCAACTGATCTTTATACTTTTACAGCAACAGTAGCAGGCAGCCAGATTGGTCAAGCTCACTTCGGGGAACAGAACATTCCAACACAACAGATCTGTGAGTTACTTGTTTTTGTAATCCTAAATTTCCTAGGCCAGAGTTTCCTAAACTTTTTAGCGTCGCGGACCCCAATTTGTTAATCTTATTTTTGACGAACCCCCATCCTATGCCACATCAATTCCTGTGCAAAATGAATGAGGAAGGATAATGTTTCATTTACAACACAACCGACATTAATATGTTGGATGAGGT